GGTTACAGGTCATCCCTCTAAACAGGAGGCCTGGTAAAGGCAATCACCAGGGGACACAAGTTAGCTCTGTGGTTCGAGGGCCAGGAGTAAAAGGCGGGCCGAGGGGCACAAAGAAACTTTTTGCGTGATACAGACGTCCTGTATCTTGATTGTGGTGTTGTTTAATACATTAAAATTGGTGAATTTTACCTTCTATGCATTATACCCCCAAAATCTGATTTTCAAAATGGGATGCATGGCCGACTTGCTGGCCACCGACGGTTTTGCGGGCGAAGTTTTGCGGTTCGCCGCCCCGGACGCCGAGAACCCCAGGTCCTCACGGAGAAGGGCCGGCGCATGCCGGCCTCCCAGGGACAGGTGCTCAGACCGGACCCGGGCGCCCGGGAGCCTGCCCGCGCGCGCCCCCTGGCGGGAGGCCGGATCCTGACAGCCAGGTGCGAGGCGCCTACCCCTGGGAGCGCAGGAGGCTGGGCCACCTGCGGGAGCCCAGGGGGTGCGGGCGAGGGGCGGGGGGCGGGGGCCGTGGTTCAGCCTAGGGGCCTGCAGAAGAACCTGCAGAAGAGCCCCGCTCTAGATGAGTCAGCCTCGTACGCACACCAAGCCGGGAGAGGCCGTGTGCCAGCTCAGACAGTGCGGGTCACAGACATTGCTTGCCCCCTCCCCTACCTCCACCCCGGAAGAACCAACAGCGGTCTGGTGGGTGAGGAGGAGGGTCTCAGGGTGCAGGGATGGGCGGGCAGGTCTGGAAGGAGTCGGCCACACACACATGCACACACTGTCTCATGCACAGGGACACACATGCCCACACACACCCTTGTCCCCCCTGTTGCTGGAGACCTCCCCAAAACAGAGAAGGCATAAAGAAGAGGATTTTAACCTTGAACGAACTTTTCAGTTTTGTTTTGTTTGGGGAAGCCTTGTGCTGTTTCTGCGTTTTTCATTGCGGTCAGATATCCCTGACATCGGAGGCACCTGGGTGGCTCAGTGGGTTGAGCCTCTGCCTTCGGCTCAGGTCATGATCTCAGGGTCCTAGAATCGAGCCCCGCATCAGGCTCTCTGCTCAGTGGGGGAGTCTGCTTCCCCCTCTCTCTGCCTCTCTGCCTACTTGTGATCTCTCTCTCTCTCCCTCTGTGTCAAATAAATAAATTAAAAATATATATATACCTGACATCGAATTTACCGCTGCTGGCCCTTGTTAATGGTTCAACCCCGCGGCAGCAAGTTCACTCACATCAGTGTGCGTCTGTCTCCAGAAACTTCATCACCCCTGACCGCAGCCCCCCACCCCTGACAACTGCTGTCCTTGTCTCCATGCCTTTGGCCATCCTGTACCACTTTTTTTTTTAAGATTTTATTTATTTATTTGACAGAGATCACAGGTAGGCAGAGAGGTAGGCAGAGAGAGAGGGGGAAGCAGTCTCCCCACTGAGCAGAGAACCTGATGCGGGGCTCAATTCTAGGACCCTGAGATCACGACCTGAGCCAAAGGCAGAGGCTTAACCCACTGAGCCACCCAGGCGCCCTGTATGGCTTTCTTAATTGCAGTTACTGAAATGAGACTTCCGTGACTTGAAGTGACCTGGGAACTGTTTGCTGAGAAAGACGGTCCTGTGTTCAGTTCAGGGTGGTCGTGAACCATCCCCGCAGAGCAAGCTGCTCTTTCTTCTAGAGATCTGTTGATTCTAATAATGGCCTTTTGGGCCACTTGTGTCTTCTCACCTGTATTTTAAGTTCCTGTTGTATGTTTTAAATTCACCAATAAAGAGTGAGCCCTGGGATCCATCTTCAACCCCCAAAGAAACAGAAGCTCAGACCCCCTCACCGTGTGGCCCAGGTGTGTAATTTCCAGGTCTTATAGGTAGTAGACCTCTGTTTCTGCAATGCTTGTTTTTTTTTTTTTAAGATTTTATTTATTTATTTGAAAGAGAGAATGAGCAGTGGGGATGGGCAGAGACAGAGAAAGGGAGGAAGCAGACTCCCTACAGAACAGGAAGCCCAATGCAGGGCTCGATCCCCGGACCCGGAGATCAGGACCTGAACAGAAGGCAGACGCTTCCCAGACTGAGCCCACAGGTGCCCCTGTTTGTGCAGTTTCCTGGTGGTTCTGGGAGATATCTCACAGTTACAGTAAGATTCACAAAGGCCATTCCAGCCACAGCATTGCTGGGTGACAGCCCGAGACCAACACCAAACACCATCGTAGTCCCCCTTCCGACTCGTGGACCACGGCGGCATTCAGAAATTATTAGCTTAGCACCAGCATTTAATAACCCCAGAAAGACATGATTATTTCATTTCCCAGGTGCACGATTCCGACGGCAAACGGCATATGTTCATTCTAACGCTGCCTCCTCCCTCTGTCCTGGCGTTCTTGACTTGCTCAAAACCGTTTTCAGGGGTTCCTGCAACTGGAATCACCTGGAGTGATTTTTTTTTTTAAGATTTTATTTATTTATTTGAGAGAGAATGAGTGAGAGAGCGCATGAGAGAGGAGAAGGTCAGAGGGAGAAGCAGACTCCCCAAGGAGCTGGAAGCCCAATGCGGGACTCGATCCTGGAAGTCCGGGATCGTGACCTGAGCCGAAGGCAGTCCCTCAAACAACTGAGCCACCCAGGCGCCCTCGAGTGATTTTTTATACCGATACTCCGGTCACCTCACACAGAATCACCTGCCAGGAAAAGCCGGTTTTTCTACCCTGACACTTCATCCCCTCCCAGTCTATAACCAGGGTCAAATCCCAGCGTGTCCCGGGGGCTGATTACACAGCCAACCTGAAGAAACGTGTGTGCACACACGCACGCAGCCACGCACGTATGCACCCATGCACGCACGCACGCACGCGCCTGCGCACGCACGCAGGCCTGAGCTGGAGCAAGGCTGAGCAGGAAAGCCTTGCCTGGAGCCTGAGGAGCCAGAAGGACTATTGACCACACACCCTTCCTTGCTGCGGGGACACCTTCTGGGCAGAGCCACGAGACTGCGGGAGGAGGTGCGTGGTCGACTGGGGGACCACCCGGCCTCAGGCAAGATACCCACCGAGTAATGGGTCTGGGAGGGTGTAAGTCCGGCAGTACTTGCCAGGGGCCCCCCCCCCCCCCCCCCCGCAAAGCCTCATGATGACGCAGCTCCCTGGCAGAGACAGTGACTCAGCTGGTGTCTGATGGCGGTGGGAGCAGGGAGACCAGGGTCCTGGTATTTTTTTTTTTTTTAACTGACGGAGTGTGAGGAGCACAGGTGACATAGGGAAGTGTTGAATCTCTAGATGCTCCGCCAGACACTACCGTTACACTGTGTGTTTTGACTAACTGGAATTTAAGTAAAAACCTTAAAAGTAATAGAGGAGGCACCTGGACGGCTCAGTGGGTGAAGCATCTGACTCGTGATTTTGGCTCAGGTCATGACCTCAGGGTCAGGAGATCGAGCCCGGCTCAGAGCCTGCTTAAGATTTGCTCTCTCTCCCTCTGTCCCTTCCCCAACAGGCACAGGTGCACACATGTGCCCTTGATCTCTCTCCCTCTCTAAAAAAAAAAAAAATTAACAGTGATTCCTGTTGCAAAACTCACTGGAAGGCCAGATAAGGCCTCTGTTGTCAACTGTGGCTACACATTGGAAACACCTGGGAAACCCTGTAACCATATCTTTTAAACACCCACCTAAAGATTCTGACTTAACTATTTAATGGGTCTGCCTGGGTTCTAGGAGCTTTTTGAGCTCACCAGGTGATTGTGATGTGCACCCACGACTAAGAGAAGGAGTGAGTGCACCTTTGGTCCGATGGCCAGAGGTGAGCCACCTGCGGGCATGCACGTGTGGTTGCTGGGGTGACTCGTGCAGACCGCTGTAGCCCGGGGAGATCGAAGCCCTACGGCAGAGGGGCAAAGAGCTTCCTGGACCCCTTTCCAGCGGGGCTGGGGGCGGGTGTTCCCACACCAGCCGGTTCCCCTGCCTCCACTTGTTTCTGATCCCGTGCACCCGGAGACAGGGTCAGAGTCCATGGGGTAAGACCGCCCCCGCCCCTGCTTCAGACCCGAGTAGCAAGTGAGTTGTTCCCTGTACTTTATTTTTAAGATTTTATTTATTTGACGGAGAGAGACACAGCGAGAGAGGGAACACAAGCAGGGGGAGTGGGAGAGGGAGAAGCAGGCTTCCCACGGAGCAGGGAGCCCGATGTGGGACCCCAGGATCATGGCCTGAGCTGAAGGCAGATGCTTACCTGACTGAGCCTCCCAGGTGCCCTGTTCCCTGTACTTCTGAGCAAATGGCTCTGAATCAGAGGTTCCCATGACCACCTCCTCAGGTCAGACGACTTGACGAGAGGGGCTCACAGAGCTCAGAGAAACCCTTTATTCCCGGGATCGTCCATTTATTACAAAAGCCCCACTCTGCCAGCCAGCACCCCCACATGCCCACCGACCGGAAGTTCTCCGAGCCCTGTCCTGGGTATTGTGGAGGCTTCACGACAAAGCACGACTCCTCAAATCCTGGGCGCTGGTGACAGATGCAGCCTCCAGCCCGTCCGCCGTCCGTCCCCAGCGGTCAGGGGTGGGGCTGGGAGTTCTCCCCGCCAGGCCACTGGCTCCCCTCATTAACAAGCAAAAGCCACCTACAGGTCTCTCAGCATTTAGAAGCTGGCAAGGGGTTAGAAGCTCTGTGGGCAAACAGGATGGTGAAACCTAAATCCTGACCTATAAATCACAGGCCCGGGAAGGAACCCACGGCTCTGGAAGGTCCAGCGTGTAGCAGGCTTTCAGTGAATCTCCTTTTTGAGTCACACCTCAGCTCGGGGAGGACAGATGTTGCCCGTCCTGTTTTATGGAAGTGGAGTCAGGACTCTCAGCGGCTACACTACGTGCCTGGCCACGTGGTGAGTCCGTGGCGGAAACTGGCCGAGATCCAGGTCTCCTGAAGCCGATGCCACTCCCCAGCCCTGCTGAGAGGATGGGCTGCCTCAGCCCGTGGCGCCGCCCGGCCTGACCACCAGGCGTTCCCGGAGTCCGTCGTGCCTCTAAGTGGAACGTGGCTAAGAGGTACCTGTGGGGTGCGGTGCTGTCTGGGCCCAGGGCTACGGGAGCGAGAGAGGGCACAGGAGGACCCAGGCAGGGGGAGTCTAGGTCCCAAAGAGCTTGTCAGGCTCTGCTCTGAGAGTCATGTCCGTTCCCAGGGGCCAAAGGATCCCGTCTGCTGAGCGAAGGAAGCTGGCGCTGGGAGCCCGAGGGCCGGCTGCAGGGTGGCAGGACACAGGGGCGTCACAGACTTCCACGGTCCCCAGAGGCCTTTTCCTAGGAAGGAAGGACAACCTTCACCCTGAGATTATAGGCTTCCCGTAGTTTACGAAACGAGAGCAGAAGGTCTTCGAGATCACTCCCACACACACTGGGCAAAAGGGAAAGGACGCAGACCTCTGCCACAGTCTGCACGTGGCTCGTTCGTTTTTGATCCGTCTGAGAAATCAGAAACCCGGGACACCAGCCGAGCGTGAGCACAGGGGGACGTGGGAGGCACGGAAGTGGAGGCTGCAGGTGTTCGTGGCTTTCTGTGGGTCAGTGCTACTTAAAGTGTGGTCCAGGATCACCTGGGAAAGCCGATTCCTGGGGCCTCCCGCAGACCTACAGAGTCAGTACTCGGACCGCACAAACTCTCGGAGTGATTCTGATGCACTCAAAGGGAGACAGGAACCACTGGGGAAATCATGAAGCCGAGGGAGAGGAGGGGCCGGTGAGGGCGTGGGGCCCTGGGCTGGGCGGAGGCAGGAGGCGGGAGGGGCTGGGGCCAGAAGTGGAGGCAGGGATGGCTTTGCCCTTGCAGTGGGGAGGAAAGAACCCAGTGGGAGTGCGTTTGCAGTTGGGGGTGGCCTTGAGGCTGTGCGATGTGGGAGGCAGGGTCTGGCTGTGAGGCCAGGGGGCTGTGATGTGGTCCCGGGGAAATGGGTCAGCACGGAGCAGGTGTGGGGAACTGGGGCCAGGCTGTGGGCCCAGGAGGACTGCCATGCCACCTGTTGGAGAGAGCCACAGGACGCACCATGGAGTCCCCTTCCCCACCCTCCAGGGGGCTCCCCAGACAGAGAAGGCTGGGCTCCCCCACACGGCCCACACCGGCACCTGGTTTCCAGCTGAGCCCTGACCCAAGTCACACTGAGTCCCGAACAGGCTTGGGGGATCTGGTAGCTGCATCCCCAGAAGGCAGGGGACCTGCGGGAATGCTGGCTGGGTCTCGGGCCACGGCCGTGGTCCCCGGGGCTGGGCTCCTCCTGCCTCCCTGAGCGGCACCCCCTCTCAGGCCCCCCAGCCCTGAGAGCCCCCAGGCCTGTGCCCTGATGGGGCAGTCTCACACGAAGCCTCGCTGGCCCCGTGCCCTGCCCAGACCTGTTCTAGATTCCACACCACCCTTCCCCAAGGCAGCCTCCACCTCCCACCAGCCGGGAGCAGGCGAGGCCAGGACTCAGCGGGAAGGCCGGCAGGCGTCAGAGCCGTGTGGGCACCGTGGAGCCATGGAACCGGAGGCAAGGCCCGTGCTCTACCGACAGCTGCTGCTCTGGGACCCCAGCTTGGGGTCTGAGGACGATGAGGACGATGAGGAGGAGACCTTTGAGCTGGTCGTTTCGAATTCTCGGAGGCCCCACAACTCCTTGGGGTGAGTCAAGGAGGGGTCTGGACACCCTCGGGCCTGAGGCTGGCAAGTCCTGCCCTCTGGAGCCGCTAACGTGGGGGCAGAGGGCAGACCCCCCCCATGCTTGGCTCTACTTGGCTCCAGGAACTTTCTGGGTGAATGGGGAAAAGCCGGGCTGCAGCCCCAGACCCGGTCTCTACCAGCTATTCCGAGGTTTGTGCTCGGATCACCCCCAGCCAGCCGTGCCCGCTGCTCCGTCAGAGGGCCCCACCCCCACCCCCGGTGCAGGAGGCACCTGCTGGGCAGGCTGGGGTCTGGCCACACCTGGCTGGGCCTAGCTCCTCAAGCCAGATGAGCCCCCCCCCCAGCCTCCCTCCTGCCGGTCTCAGCCCAGAGACTCCCTCCCTGGCTGGCCTGTGTCCCCAAGCCCCTTTCAGTCACCATGTCTTCTCTATGTGGTGCCAGGAGGCCTTTCTGGAAAATAGTCCCTGGGCTCCCTCAGAACTCTTGGTCGTCCCCTGGTCCCAGGCCTGACGCAGGACACCCTTCTCAGCAGGAACGAGGTTGGCGGGCTGCCCGGGGCCTGGGCTCGCCTCGGCGCCGCCCTGCTGCTGCTGGTCACTGGCTTCTCCCTGGCTGCGAGGCAACTCTACATCAGGGGTGACCCTACAGGAAGCCAGGGCTCGGCAGCCCCCCGGCCCGGCGGGCACTCCCATGCCCCTGGTGTGTACCACCACGGTGCCATCATCAGCCCGGCAGGTCAGAGCCAGGAACCGCTTGGGGGGCGGGCAGGGCCCAGGGCATTGGTCGCCGGCCATGCCCCAAGACAATGTCTTCCTGGCCGTAGCCATGTGCTCCCACCTGGGCCGAGAGCTGCTCATCGCCGGGGGCAACGTCGTGGACGCGGGAGTGGGAGCAGCTTTGTGTCTGGCGGTGGTGCACCCTCACACCACGGGGCTAGGTCAGTGCCCCGCGGCTCTGGGCCTGCTCCGTGATCTGTACCTTAAGTCCTGACACCCCGGGCCGCTCAGTGGCAGGACCTAGGCTGTGAGCTCTGCTCCCTGGTGCATGTGGTCTTGACCCTGGGACTAGTTACTAACCCCTGTCTCCAGGCCCAACCTCAGGCTAAGGTAGTGACCTCCCCCCGGGACCACTGAGAGAGCCTGACTCCATGGCCCCCGAGCCCTGGGTGACCCCTCTGTCTCCTCCAGGTGCCACGTTCTGGGCCCTCTTCCACAACAGCTCCTCGGGCAGCCCAACTGCCCTGACGCCGGGCCCCGCGCAGCCCCTGGGCCCCGGCCTGCGGCTGCCGTCCGCCCTGCCCAGCTTGCGCCTGCTGCACGCACGCTTCGGCCGCCTGCCGTGGCCACGGCTGCTGGGGGGCCCCACCTCGCTGGCTCAAGACGGCTTCCTGGTAGACACAGCCCTGGCCACAGCTCTGGCAGCCCGGGGCACAAAGGGCCTCTGTCCACTACTGTGCCATGCTGATGGGACCCCCCTGGGCCCCGGGGCCCGAGCCACCAACCCCAAACTTGCAACCGTGCTGCGCCTAGCGGCCCAAGCCCCGGACCTGGCCGGGGATGCCCTACTGAGCCTGCTGGTCAGAGACCTGGGGCTGCGGAGGCCCCAATCCAGGCCCACGCCCACCCTGGAGCCCGCAGTGCAGCAAGCCATACCCCAAGGTGTCCTATCCACCACCCCTGGCCCCTCAGCCTGCCCAGAGCTGCTGGCGATGGTAGGGGCAGCCCTGCACTCAGGAGAGCCCAGCCCCGACCCCTGCCCGGCACGCTCACCAGCTCCCGTGGGCCCTGTGGGCACTGTCCTGGCCACTGTAGACAGCGGTGGCTCGGTGCTGCTCCTTACCTCCTCACTCAGCAGCCCCTTTGGCTCCGGACGCCTGTCCCCGAGCACTGGGGTTCTCCTTAGTGACCTGGTGGCCAAGCCTACAGCCAGTGCCTGGGCCTGCCCCCTCCTCCTCCATGGAAGCTCGGATGACACAGAGGCTGACATGTTAGGGCTGGTGGCTTCGGGAACTCCTGCGGTGGCCAGAGTTGTGACTCGTGCCCTGCTCAGTCACCTGGCTGGGCCCCAGACCCAGGTCCAGCACCAGCGACGGCAGGGACCGACACTGAGCGCTAGCGTTTGTGGCCAAGGGACCCTGCTCCAGGTGGCTGTCCAGGCAGAGCATGCCCATGTCTCCAGTGTCCCCAGCAGCTGCTGCACTGTCCAGGGGTTCTAAGTGGGGGATGTGTCTAGCCGGGGGTGGGAGGGTGGGGGTGTCCCACCTGGCGGCAGGAGCGGAACAGGCCCAGCAATGAGGTCGCGCGTAGCAGCATGCCTAGTTACCGGCTCGCTGCTGGCTCAGGCCCACAATGTCTGGCCCGGTCAGTACCCTGGACTCCAGATCGGGTTCTTTTTCAGCTGAGGAGACTGAGGGTACTGGGGAAAGAGCCCCAGACTCCAGTTCAGATCTGGCTCTGAGAAGGACAGGTAGTAGGGTGCCAAGCCCCTGCCTTGGCTCCAGACCCCGTGGGCAGGGCAGGCAGAGCCTGGGGTCCCGCTGGCCTCTCTGTCTCCCCCTTCAGGCCACCCTCTGCCGATGTCTCTCAACTGAGCTGGAAACAAAATAAAGATCCAATCTCCCGGATTTCTGTGCCTCCCGCTTCCCAGCTTCCCATCGGCCTGTGAGGTGCTTGGTGTCATGACCTCCTCGTTGGGCACCATTGCAGACCTACCCCGGACAGGCAGAGGCTTGGGCCACGGTCCTCCAGCTTCCCCTAACCCTGTTCGCCTTCTGCTCCTGGGGCAGCATAGACAAAAGGTAAACGTTTGCGTCTCACTTCCTAAAACGGCAGAACAAGGAAGGGGATGAGAGGAGGAGCAGGAGGGGCCCCAGGGGCCTGGGGTCAAAGGGAGCCAGAGCTGGGGGGCCTTAAGGTGGGTGTTGGCCCTGACATTGCCAGCCTCCCACGCCCCCCCCCCCCAGGGCTGGGGTCCCCGGGGATGACAACCCTCCAGAGACAGCCGCTGCAGTGCTGACGCGGGGTGACCTGCTGTGCTGCTCCTCCTGGCCCTTGCCAAGTCACCCCTGCTTTCCTGGAACTCACTCCCCTCCCTCAGTGAAGGGCAGCACCGGCTACCCGGCTATGTCCGCCCTGTCTGTCCTTCTCCCCCACACCCATCACCCCCGACCAGCTCCGGATCAGCTCCGGACCAGCGGGACTCCCACGGGCTGGCTCCATCCACCCCACCAGGGGCCCCTCCTGCTTTTCCGCTGCGGTCCTGCGACCCCCACCCCACACGGGCCAAGTGATCTTTTCAAGGCCTGCCCGCGCACAAAACCCTCCGGGGTCCCCACTGCGCTCAGGCTGAAGTCTGAGGGGCTCCCGGGTGGCTCGGTGGGCCAAGCATCCCGCTAGCATCCCGCGCTAGGTTTCCGCTTCCGCCGCGGTCTCGGGGTCCTGGGATCCGCCCCGGGGGGACTCCACAGGCTCACCGGGAACTCTGCTTGAGACGCTCTCCCTTCTCCCTCTGCCCCTAAAATAAGTAAATCTCTAAAGTGAGTCAATAGGGGCGCCGGGGTGGCACCGGCAGTGAGGCGTCTGCCTTCGGACGGGGTCTTGAACCCGGGTCCTGGGATGGAAGCCCCCCCCCTCCAACGTTAGGCTCCCCGCTCAGTGAGGAGGCCGCTTTTCCCTCTCTCCTCGCTACCTCTGTCGCTATCTTGGTCTCTCTCAAACGAGTAAAATCCTTTAAAAAAAAAAAAAAAAATTAAATAACCCCGGGGCGAGCGTACCAGCCCCACGAGTCCCAGCCCCGCCCAGACTCCCCGCCCCCAGGCGGCTCAGCCCGTCCCCTGCGCGACAAGGCCCCGCCCCCTGGTCCGCGAGGCCCCGCCCCCGAGGTCCGCTCAGCGCGCACGCGCCGCGACCTGACCCGGAAGAGGCCGTCTTCAGAGCCCACGTGTTCGCGGCGCGAGGCAGACATGGAGAGTCGGGTCCTGGCCGAGTCTGCGTCCCCTGGGGGGGCGGCCACGAGCGGCCCGCGGCCGGCAGACCGGGAGGGGCTGCTGCAGCAGAGCCGCGAGTTCTTGGACTTCTTCTGGGACATTGCGAAGCCGGAGCAGGAGACGCGGCTGGAGGCCACGGAGAAGCTGCTGTCGTACCTGCGCGCGAGGCCCCAGGTGCGCCGGCGGCGGGGGCGGGAGGGGCCGCGCGGCGGGCAGGGGCGGGGGGCTGCGCGGCGGCGGGCAGGGCAGGGGCAGGGCAGGGGCGAGCGGCGGGGGTTGGCGGTGCGCCCCGCCAGCCCGCCGTCCTCACCGCCGGCCCTGCTCGCTCCGGCAGGGACCCGAGAGGAAGTACGCCCTGAAGCGCCTCATCACCGGGCTCGGGGTCGGCCGAGAGACCGCCCGGCCCTGCTACAGTCTGGCCCTAGCGCAGGTGAGCGGCGGCTCCGGAAGGGGCCCAGCCGGGCGCTCGCGGCGCTGGGGAGTGGGGAGGGCGGGCGTCCGAGCCGAGGGGCCGACCCCGCGCGGACGTGGGAAACCGAGCGGGCCCGTGCCCAGGGACGCCCAGGCGGGTGGGCCAGGGGGTGAGCAGTTTTCTTTCTGGGGACGTGGGTGGACCAGCCTCGGGGGGTCACAGACCGGACAGAGTGAGCTGTGGGGTGGGTTACCGTTTCTTGGCGAGGTTCGGTGCGCTCTTCTCTCCAGGGGTACCCAGCGGCTTAGAGGCCGCCCTGGAGGCACGTGGGCAGCTGGGAGGGTGTTCCAGACCCAGTCCCTTAGCACCCTCGCTGGGGGCGGCTCAGAGCAGGCTGTGGAGGCAGCAGGCTCTGGAGACAGCAGGCTGTAGAGACCGGCTAACGGAGTCTCAGCCAGAGGAGTGGTTTTCTGAAGCCTGATGGGCCTCCGGGGGAGGCGAGACTGAGCTCCCTCCAGCAGCCGTGTTCACACACCAGCACTGCTTGGGGTGGGCACCCCGAGGCACCGCGGGCCTCGCGCCAGAAGTCGAAGGGAGACTTGGAAGGAGGCTGGGCTCTCTTGGGTGGGGCTGGACCTCCCCTCCCTGAACGGCTCGCCCTCCTGCTGCAAACCCCTGGCAGCTGCTGCAGTCCTTCGAAGACATCCCCTTGTGCAGCGTCCTGCAGCAGATCCAGGAGAAGCACGACTTGCAGAAAGTTAAGAAGGTGAGCGTTCGTGGCCTGGGGGAGATGGGCAGCCCCAGGCTGGGGTTCCTGGGCCCTTTTCACTGATGCCTGAAACTCCTTTCTAGGCGATGATGAGACCGGCTCTTTTTGCAAACCTCTTTGGGGTGCTAGCCCTCTTTCAGTCCGGCAGGCTGGTGAAGGTGAGAGGTTTGGGGGCAGGGGGCATGTGGGCAGGCTGGAGAGTGGGGGACTTGTGGCATGCCCTGCTCATAACCGTGTCCCCTCTCTGGGCACCAGGACTCCGAGGCGCTGCTGAAGTCGGTAAAGCTGCTGCAGAGCTTGGCCCAGCACCACAACCACCTGCAGGAGCAGCCCCAGAAGGCCCTGGTGGACATCCTCTCCGAGGTACGGACTTCCCGCCGTGAGGCCCCAGGTGGAGAGGCTGAGAGCGGAAGCCTGGACACCCCACAGCAGCGGTGTACCCGGGGAGGTGTTCAGTCTCATGGATCTGGAGTGACATTTCCATCCATGATCGGTGCGGAAGTTGCAGAGAATCCTTACGTTCTCCTCCCGTCGAGTCCCTAGAGTCCTGTGAGCCTCTTGTCCTGGGGGCCATCTCCACTCACATGACTGCGCTCTGAGAGCTCAGCGGCTGCTGCGCTGGACGGCGCCGTTTTAGAGCAGCACCTGCCACGTGGCAAGCGAATTAAACATGTTTGCCATTTTTGTTTTGGGCAGAGCTGACCCCCAGGGCCCCACGGCCCTGCTGGGGAAAGGGAGGTGGGCCAGTACCTAGAACCCTTTGCTTTGGAGGAAGAGGCGGGGGCGTGAACTCAAGTCCCAGCTCTCCGCTTGGCGCAGCTCGTACAGGAAATGAACTCATCCCTCGGGGCTTCCGGGAGGCTCAGTGGGTTCGGCATCTGCCTTCAGCTCGGTGTCCTGGGTTCGAGCCCCATGTCGGGCTCCTGCCCAGTGAGGAGCCTGCTTCTTCCTCTACGGCTCCCCGATGCGTGCCTGCTCTTTCAGTTGCTCTGATAAATAAATATTTAAAACGAACTAGTCCTGAATCAACCAAAAGAGGGGTAATTAAAAGGGTAGCTAGTCAGCATCGGTGGGGCAGTTGTTAAAAACCCAAGGCCCCAGGACTGGCCATGGAGTGAGCTCCATAACAAACAGCTTCTCGGGGTTCTGGTGCCTAGCAGGGTGGGGGCAGCTGTTCCACCTCACCCGGCACTGTGGGGGGCCTCACAGAAGCCTGGCAGGTGCAACAGAGCCACAGGGCTCCCCTCACAGGGGACGTGGCACAGGTGCTGGACGGCACGACCCTCCCCCAACCGTGTCCCCACGCCAGGTCCCAGAAGCCACGTTGCAGGCGATCCTGCCGAAAGTCCTCAAGGCGGACTTGAATTCAGTCCTGGCCTCCCCCGAGCACCTGGAGCTCTTCCTCTTGGCCCAGCAGAAGGTGCCGGAGAAGCTCAAGGAGCTGACGGGAACCGTCAATCTGTTCTCAGACGAGAACATCCCCAGGTGTGAGGGCGGTGGGAGGACGGGCTCCCCCAGGGACCCTGCCGCCCGTGGGCCGGCGCCCCCTGAATCCCTCCGCCCCTCCCCAGACTGGTGAACGTCCTGAAGACGGCGGCCACCTCCGTGAAGAAGGAGCGCAAGCTGCCCGCCGTGGCTCTGGACCTGCTCCAGCTGTCACTGCGGGAGGGCAAGTTCCCACGGTTCTGGAAGGAGGTGGTGGAGCAGGGGCTCCTGAAGAAGCAGTTCTGGCCAGCCAGGTGCGTGGGGGCCCATCTCAGGGGTGGGGGGCAGCCAGGTGCTCGGCCGGTCGCACAGGGCGCCGCAGGGCTCTGAGTGGGCTGTCCTCGCTCCCCCAGCTATCTGTGCTTCCGCCTGCTGGGCGCGGCGCTGCCCCTGCTGTCTGAGGAGCAGCTGCCTCTGGTGATGCAGGGCGACCTGATCCGGCATTTTGGGGAGCACATGGTCACCGCTAAGGTGGGTCTCCTCCCCCTGCCTCCCCAGCACTGCCAGGAGGGCAGGCGCCTCAGGGGTCAGCCAGCTTCTTGGGAAGAGGGTTGCTCTTGGCCGCAGCGTCTCCGGTCTCCTGCCTTGGCGGTCCTGCTGGGGAAACGGGGGTCCCTTCCCTCTGGGCAAGGTGAGCCACCTGGCTGCCCGCACCCTTCTCCTCTGAGTGGACTTTGGCAGGGTCAGTCCTTCCGGCCTCAGGCCCCTCAGCACAGGCGTGCGTGGCCAGCAGCCCCCACCTGGCTCTCCAATAAGGGGAACCGTCCTGGTCTGTGACCGCCAAGCACCGTGTGCGCTCCCATGCTGCACATAAACTGGACGGGAGAGTCCTATGCTTGTTAGGAGTTCAGGCTTGGGAGCCGGGCTGCCCTCTGGCCCAGGCCTGCCTTGCCTCTGTGAGCCCAGCGTCTTGGGCAGAGCCTCCATGAAGATGACGGGTCACGTCCCCTGGAGCACTCAAGGCGGGCGCCTGGGCATGGAGTGTGGCCACCCCCCGTTCTGGCTGCAGCGGGGGCAGGGCTGCCGCACCGAGAGCTCCACATCCCACAGGCACCACTTGGAACCCTGTGCCCTTGAAAAGTTAGTGGCCAGTTTTCTTCATCTGTAAGATGACAGAAGAGGCCCTCAGTACGGGGTTGTCATGCATGTGGCATGGTGACACAGCCAGGAGCTGGACAAGGGGGTTGATGCCCCAGCCGGGACCCTGCTCCGCCCTCCCTGAGCCAGGAACCCAGCCTGTCCTGGGCAGGGGAGTGGGTGGTCGGCAGCCTACCAGGATGCGCAGTGGGAGTGCTGGGGGCGGGGGACGGGTTGTGGCATGGCCTGGCCTGGCCGTGGACGACATAGGGCTTTGCCAGGCCTCGGTGTCACCTGTTGGGAGAAGAGGGTGGTGGGACCGTTGGACCCTCCTGGCAGGTGACCCTGGTGTTGGCCTGACTCTCACAGCTCCCAAACCAGTTCAAGTTTGCTCCGGAGATGAACGAGTACGTGGGTGCCTTCCTGGAGGGCTGCCGGGATGACCCTGAGCGGCAGTTGGCTGTGGTGGTGGCCTTCACCCGCATCACCAACCAGGGCCTCCCTGTCCTGCCCACATTCTGGAGGGTTGTGCGGTCCCTAAGTCCCCGTGCCCTCAAGGGCTACGTGGCCTGGCTACAGACCACGTTTCTCCGGCCCGACCTGGACTCCCTGGTGGACTTCAGTACCAGCAACCAGAAGAAAGCCCAGGACGCTTCGCTGCATGGGTGAGGGGGAGTGCGGAGCTCGGGGTGGGTGTGCCGGGCTGTGTTCCCATGGGATGGCGGCCCCGGGAGGGGAGGGCTGAGCTGAGCCGCCGCTTTCCTGGAAGGCCCGAGTTTCCTTGCGTGTTCCCGTGCTGGTGGCCGGGCTAGGAGAGTTCAGCTTCTGTCTCTGAGGTGGGCAGAGTGGTACAGAACCGGTAATCCGGCTCCCCGCAGGCCCGAGCGAGCAGTGTTCCGGCTGCGGAAGTGGGTCATCCTTCGTCTGGTCAGCACCGTGGACGCCCTGCACGCGGAAAAGGAGGATGACTTGATTGAGGAGGTGGCCAGGTGGGACAGGCACTGCCCCCAGTGCCTTCATAGGAGCCCAAGAATCAGGCCTCTTGCCTAGTCTTTGGTCACACTGGAGCCAGGAGCCCTAGTTCGGGTCGCCAGGGGGAGTAGGCCATTCTCGCCCCTTAGGCAGAAGGCGGTTTAGGGAAAAATCCCAGGAGCCCCTGAAAGGAAAGGTTAGGGTTAGGGTTAGCCATGGGCCCTGCAGACGCTTGCGGGGCTAGGGAGGCCCCAGTGCTGGGCTCGCCTCTGCCAGCTGCTCTCAGCCTTCACCACACGGCCAAGGGGCGGGGAGGGGGGCAACCCGTGTCTGCAGAGGCCGTGGCGTGCTCTGATGTGGCGGCCTCACGTGTGGCCGGCTTCCGAGGGACAGACTCCAGTTTCGCCGCAGTTAGGCCAAGTCCAGTTCGGCTGGAGATACGGACTTGGGAAATGTTGCTTCTGCCACTACCTGGCCCTGGGCCTTGAGCGATGCCATCCTGGGCAGGGGCTGCTGAGACCCGTGGTGCTCCTGCCCTCCCCAGGTTTTGTTTCTTCCACTCATTCTTTGAAACGAAGAAGCCCACGTCCCAGATCCCGGAGACGGAGCAGCGGTTCTCTTTCCCTCTGGAGAACCGGACCCGGGAGGTGGTCAGCAGTGCCTTCTTCAGGTGGGCCGTGGGCAGCCTTGGAGCGGGCAGGGTGGGACGAGCTCGCTCGCTTCCCTGGTTCTCAGCCGGGAGCACGTGGAGGCCCAGTGAGCTCCAGCGGGTCGGGTGTGGGCGTGCTGGGAGGTGGCCATGTCCGCGGCCGGCTGTGACCCCGTCCCCGCCCTCCCAGCCTGCTGCAGACCGTCAGCACCCAGTTCCGGCAGGCGCCGGCGCAGACCCCGGACGGGCAGCCCTGGACCCACCGGCTGGTACAGTTCGCAGACTTGCTCTTGAACCACAGCCGCAACGTGACCTCCCTGACGCCCTTCACCACGCAGCAGCGCCAGGCCTGGGACCGGTGAGGGGCTGTGGTTTCCAGGGGGCGGGTGGGACACCCCAGGGTCCAGGGGGCAGCAGAGGCCTGAGAGCCTGCCTGTGTCACGCAGGATGCTGCAGACGCTGAAGGAGCTGGAGGCCTGCTCTGCGGAGGCCAAGGCCAAGGCCAGTGCCTTCCAGCACCTGCTCTTCCTCGTGGGCATCTACCTCTTCAAGGTATGGCCGCCTGGAGGGGAGCGGGCCGTGGCCTGGGGGCTCTGCGAGTCGAGGCTGGCAGTGTGGGCCCTGGTGGGGTTACAGTCCAAGGAAGAGCCGCTCCGTCTGCTTTCTGGGCCTCCGTTGTGTGCCGAGCTGCCTGTGCGGCATTTCTTACCCCCCCCCAGTTTTGCGGCAGGTGCTGCCTCGTTTGCCGGGTGGGGCAGCCGGAACTCCCGGCCGAGTAACCTGGTGCAGGCCACACAGCCATGGCCTGGGATGGGCCCTCGGGTCTGACTGCGCTCTCCCTCCGGACCCCCAGACTTGCCTGCCCACGCAGAGGTGGGCTGGGCCTGCTCCCTCAGCACTTGCGGCGGCCGTAGTCCACGGTCCGCGAGGAGCGAGGCCCTGACCTCCCCCCCCGAACCTCACCCACCAACAGCCGCCATGGCAGGTGGGGGCGAGCACGTGTCCCTGTGGCTTCCTAGCGTGGGGCTCTGTGCCCCATGGTTGTGGCCTGCACATCTGTGTCCCCATGCTGTTGACCACATCTCTCGATGTCTCCGTTCTCTCCACCTGGAAGCTCTTACTGAAGCTAGAGCTCAACTCTCAGGTTCATCCTGGCTCCTCTGGAGGTCTCCCCTCAGGCTGCAGGACGGTCTTGCGCTTTCTGGCGCTGCCTTCTGCCCGTTGGGCCGGGGTCGGGGTTGTGGTCTGTGCTTCCAGACCTCAGACGCCCAAGCCGGCCTGCAGACAGGTTGTGTGTACGTGTGCCAGTTTCTGTGAGATGTGTGTGTAGCGCATGTTCATCGGTGTATGCACGTCTGTGCTGTGTGCACGTGCTGGTTTCCACGTGTCCGTCCGTGTGTGGCGCGTGCGTGTGGCGTGTGTCGGTTTGTGTCTACACCTGTGTGTGGGGTGTGTGGCCTTTGTGTGTGCGTGTAGCATGTGTCAGTCTGTGTCTGCACCGGTCTGTGTGACGTGTGCGTGTATCGGTCTGTGTGTGGGATGTGTGGCCCGTGTGTGCGTGCAGCGTGTGTCGGTCTGTGTCTAGCGGCGTGTGTGCCTGTCAGTCTGTGTGTGTGCAGTCTGTGCAGAGGGTGAGTGTGTGGTCTCTGTGCATGTCCGTGTGACGTGTGTGTGGGCTCTGTGTATGTTGGTCTGTGCACGGCATGTGTGTGCAAATGTCTGTGTGTGTGTGCACACGTCTCTGTGTGTGAGGTGTTCGTGTGCTTGTCTGTATGTGTACACGTGGCGTGTGTGCACACGTGGGGGCCTCAGTGCCCCTTCGGATCCTGGCATCGGCCTCTGATGGCAGCAGGGCGGCAGCAGGCACGGGATGCCCTTGGCTCCCACCCCCCAACTGGGCGCTCACCGCACCCCGGAGCTGCATGTGCAGCTGTCCTGGATGAAGGGTATGGGACATAGACGGCCCGGCCGCGCTCCGTCACCCTGTCCAGGCGCGGAAGCTGTGTGCTGTGCTGGGACGGGCCCCATGGGGGGCCTCGGCTCCCCCAACTCCTGGGCAGGGCTGCAGTCTGGGCTACTCCTGCACGATGGGGGCGAAGTGACATGGAATCAGCTCCAGTTAACGGTCCTGGTGCTCTGTAGGGACATTGCAGTCAGTGTGGGGGGACATCTAGCGTCGTTGGGCTCCCAGGCCCCATGGTGGCCTGTTGGGTGCTGAGTGGGTACCTGGGGTGCTCAGTCCTGGCTGGGAGGGGCTCAGCGGTGCCGGGAGTGGGGCCTGCCCCTGATCCTGTCCTCACCCTGCCCCAGTCCCCCGCGGAGAGCTGCGAGCTGTTGGCAGACATCCAGACCTGCATCCAGAAGAGCCTGGGAGAGAAGCCCCGCCGGACCCGCTCCAAGGCTGCCAGTGGGTCACTGTCCCCAGGGCTGGGGGGTTGGGCACGTCCCCATGGACCCGTCTCAACCTCTCCCGCCTGCAGCCCCCCAGGAGCCACCATGGGTGGAGGTGCTGGTGGAGATCCTGCTGGCCCTGCTGGCCCAGCCCAGCCACCTGATGCGCCAGGTGGCCCGGACTGTGTTCAGCCACGTGTGTGTCCACCTGACCCCACGGGCTCTGCAACTGATCCTGGATGTAAGCTGGGGCGTGTGGGGAAGTGGGGTCTGGGACGGGGCTTGCCACAGGATGAAGGCTCCCTCGTCATTGCCGTAACGTGCAGAGCGGTTGGGAGCCTTGCCGGACAGTGCTGTGCTCTCTGTCCGCCAGGGTGTGCCCTCCTCTCCCGGTTCCATCCTCCTCTCTGAGATGGGGTCCTCTGGGCTGAGACTGGAAGGGGCCTGGTGCGGGGGGCGGTGACTGCGGCGACAGGTGTGTCAGCTGTTGGGGAATCTGTTTAGGTGCTGAACCCTGAGAAGAGTCCAGACGAGGACAACGTGGTGGTCACAGATGATTCCGAGAAGCAATCGGAGAGTGGTGAGGTGCGTGCAAGGAGAGGTGGGCGGGCGGATGTGGGGCGGGCAACGGGAGGTGTAACACAGGGGACCCCGCAGGATAAGAGCTCAGACAGTGAGGACGACAGGCCCTCGGCCGACGAGGACGACAGTGACGACGAGGACAGCAACGAGGAGGACCGGGACAGGGACGTGGACCAGGGCTTCCGGGAGCAGCTCATGGCCGTGCTGCAGGCAGGGAAGGCGCTGGTGAGCAGTGGCGGGGGGTAGGGAGGGCAGGGGGGCGCGCTTGCAGCCAGCGGCTCAGCGGGCGTCTGTCCCTCAGGGCGCGGTGGACGGAGAGGACGACGACGACGAGGAGCTGGGGGACGAGGCCATGATGGCCCTGGACCAGAACCTTGCCAGCCTCTTTGCTGAGCAGAAGCTGCGCATCCAGGCCCGGAGGGACGAGAAGAACAAGCTACGGAAGGAGAAGGTGCTCCGGCGAGACTTCCAGATCCGGGTGAGTACGGGAGGCACCGGCAGCGCCGCGCCCCCCTGCACGCCCTGCACCCGCTGACCCGTCCCCCTGGCCGCAGGTTCTGGACCTGGTCGAGGTGATGGTGACCAAGCAGCCCGAGAACCCGCTGGTGCTGGAGCTGCTGGAGCCGCTTCTGGACGTGATCCGCCGCAGCATGCGCACCAGCAGCTCCAAGCAGGAGCAGGACCTGCTGCACAAGACGGCCCGCATCTTCACGTGAGCGCGTGGGCGGGGCCGGCGGGAGCAGGGGCTTGGGACCAGAGCCTGGTGCAGGTCCCCGCAGGAAAAGGGGGTGTGGACCTGCCGGCCCCAGCGCGGACGGGGCCAGACCTGAGGGCCCGAGGAGCTTCATGGAGGAGCTGGTGGGGCGGGACGGACCGCGCCCCCCACCGCATGTCCTTGCCAGCCCAGGTTGCGCTCGCTTGGCAGGCTGTCCCCGCCACCTGCCGGAGTTGAGTCTGTGGATGACCTGGTCCTCGTGCCCTGAGCACCGCGGACCCGAGTCTCAGGGCCCAGAAGCCTCTGTCCTAGGGGAGGCAGGTTTTCCCGTGTGGCAGGCTCAGCCCCAGGCGCTGGTTTCTCCTCTCGCTCACCCTCAGCAGAGCCACAGGCGGCCCTGCGCCCACCCCTGCGCCCACCCCTGCCGCCTCGGTCAGACCCCTGTCCTCTGGGTTCCTGTCTCCCCACCTGTGAACTAGGATGCACAGGGGGCGGGCTCTGCTCGGCGGGGCAAGGCGGACGGTGGTGACCAGCTCCTCCACCCTCTCCCCCGACACAGACACCACCTGTGCCGCTCCCGGCACTACTGCCACGACGTGGGCCGCAGCATGGGGGCTCTGTACGCACAGGTGGAGCGGTTGGTGCAGCAGGCCGGCCGCCAGGCCGATGCCTCCCTCTCCCTCTACTACTTCAACGCGGCCCTCTACCTGCTCCGCGTCCTGAAGGGCAACAGCACCGCCGCCGCCGTCTGCAAGCCCCAGAAGAAGGAGAAAGCTGGCCCCAAGCCCGGGGACCCCAAGGTGAGCTGGCCCCAGCCCAGGAAGGCTCGGCCGCTGGAGCCCGGCTGCAGGGTCGCGGAGGGGAAGTGGAGGCCGTGACTCCCAGGAGCCGCCTCCCAGCTCCCCGAGGATGGCTGTGCCCCTCCCTCTCCCCAGCATCACGCAGCTGCTCTCCCCCGTGGTGCAGGCTAGCGGCGGCTTGGATCTGAGCCTCGTGACCCCGATCTTCTCCTCGGCACTGACCTCCTTCCTGACTAAGCGCAACAGCCCGCTGACCGTGTCTATGTTTCTCAGTCTCTTCTCCCGGCACCCGGTGAGCGTCCGAGCCGGCCCGCCCCTGGGACCCCTGTGCGGCCTGGCCCAGCTCATTGCCCCATCCTGCCGTCCGTAGGTTCTCTGTAAGAGCCTGCTCCCCGTTGTGATCCAGCACGTGACAGGCCAGGCACGGCCCCGCCATCAGGTAGGCCTGTCCCGGACCCCAGCCCTGGACCCCAGTCCCAGGCCTGTCGAAGTTACCCGCGTGACCATCTCCACCCGGGTGTTTGGGAGGCCCTGGAGGAGTCCTGGCACAGGGTCACTGTCGGGAGGGAAAGCTTCACCCCCGCTGCTGCCACCTGCCATGTGGCCTGAACCCCGAGCTCCTTGACATGTGCACTCGGACGTGGCTGTCACCCAGGGCCGGGCTGACGGGCAGGCTTCAGGAGGGCACCGAGCTGACGAGCCGGCCAGGCACTGTCCCCACTGCCCCTGGCCTCGGCTCCTGCACCTGCCTGGGGTTAGGGCTGGGCCCAGGTGGTGGCCGCTCCCGGGGCCCATGGAGTCTGCCTGTGGCTCCCTGAGCTTTGGGCTGCTGCACTGAGGCCCCCATCCTGCCCCCCAACCAGGCCCAAGCCTGTGTGCTGCTCCAGAAGGCCTTGCCCACGCGGGAGCTGCGGCTGTGCTTTGAGGACCCCGAGTGGGAGCAGCTGGTCAGCCAGATCCTGGTGAAGGTCACGGAGGTGAGGGTCTGTGGGCCCCTGCCGCGTTCCCGCTGGGGTGGGTCTCTGGGACCCTGGGCTTCAGCTGGGGCTGGGCTGCCCCCATCAGGGCCTTTCCCCCACTGGGGCTCTGGTGTTGAGCGGGCGTCTTCCCTAGAACCTGCGGACGCTGGGGGAGGCGCAGAGCAAGTCGGAGCAGCAGCAGGAGCTGTCCTCCCTGGGGCTGCTCAACACCCTCCTCAGGACCGTCCATCAGGAGGTGGGTGGCGCACCGTGGCAGGGACAGAGCGCGGGCCGGGCTGAGGGGGGCCCGCCCTTTGGGAGGATGCCAGGGAGGGCCACGCCCAGTGGAGGGAAGTGCTCATGGACTGGGCGGCAGCTGGGGAGTCGGGTCCCTCCGTCCAGCCCAGGAAGAGGTCCTTAGCAAGGATGCTGGTGGCGGGGGTGGGAGAATGTGGGACCCAGAGCCTGGCAGGGGCCCTGCCTTTGGTCCCTGTGGCAGTCACGGTGTGTCCTGCCCGCAGAAGCTGACCGTGGACCTGACCAGCGTGCTGGGTGTGCTGCAGAGCCAGCAGCAGAGGCTGCAGCCGGGGGGGCGCTCGGCCGGCTGCAGCCGCCTCTGCGACCTCTACTGGCAGGCCATGAAGGCCCTCGGAGTCCAGTAGGTTCTGGGGGGGCCTGGCGACTCCCTCGGGCAGGGAGCACGGTGGAGAGGGCCACACCTCTCACTGGGCGCGCCCTTATGTTGCACCCTGTCTCCAAGGCGCCCCAAGTCAGAGAAGAAGGAGGCCAGGGAAGTCCCCAAGGTCACGCAGAGCCCCCTTAGCACTAAGAGGAAGAAAAAGGGGTTTTTGCCGGAAACCAAGAAGCGCAAGAAGCGAACGTTGGAACGCACGGCGCCGGCGGAGGAGGCCAAGCCCACGGCCTCTGGGGGCGACCAGCCCCCCAGCACAGGCAAGAAGAGGAGGAGGAAGAGGAAGGCCCAGGGGCCCGCCCAGGCCAATGGGACACCTGCCACCAAGAGGCCGGCCCCAGATGCCACGAGTCCCAGCGCTCCTGCCAAGACCCCGAAGCTGCAGGAGAAGCAGCAGCAGCCCTCCCAGGTGAACGGAGCCAGGCCTGCGTCCCCCACGGCGCCCGCCAGCAGAAAGCCTCAGAAGGATCTGCCCGAGAAGGGGCTGTCTGGCAAGTCACCACAGTCCGTGCTGCCGCGGAAGAAGGCCAGGTTGTCTCTGGCCAGCAGGAGCCCCAGCCTGCTCCAGAGCGGGGCCAAGAGAAAGAAGGCATCGCTCAAGAAGGCCAGGAAGCCCTGAGCCCCGAGAGCCCTGCGTTTGCCCCGCGGCGAGTACCGGGACTGGAGGGACTCGCGTGTCCGCTGTCCCCGCGCGCGCCCCCCGCCCCGAGCGGCTGTGCCCTGGGAGCCAGTGCGGCATGATTTAAATAGGTTTATTCCTTCATTTACAAGAGGAACATATTTGGCTTCTCTCTTAAGACTCTGAGATTCACGATCAGCAGCTCTGAAAAATAAAGGAGCAGTTTGGCTTCCGGAAGGAAGAGGAGGCAACACTTGGACGTGGTTCTTGTACAACAAGAAAACATCGCTGGGGCCCCCCGTTGGGGCCGGGCTTGTCTTGGAGGTCCCACCCCCGTAGGTGCCCCAGAGCTTGGTGAGGAGCGGGTGCCGCTAGCTTGCACACGCACAAGCCACGCCAGCTAACTACGGGGCAGCGCGTCGTCGGGGCGGGCACCTCGATTCCAGCCGGTGTGCGGGAGCGCGTGGGGGCAGGATAGGGCGAGCTCCGCCAGCAGGCAGGTGTGGGGGCGGTGGCAGGGCCCCCGAGCACTGCGGCAGCCGGCCTGGGGTGCCGGCCTGGCTCCTGGCCCTTTTCCTGGGACAGGAAGCCTCATGGGGTGACTACTTTCTCCAGCAGCTAGCACCCTGGGCCCTGCCCCTGGGGTGGGGGGCGTGTGGCTCCCACACCCAGGCCTGGGGCACAGATCAGGTGCAGCAGCCGCCAGGGCCTTCACCCCTGGAGACGCCGGCTCCCTAGCAGCTGGACCCCCCCAGGGGTCCTGCAGGCAGCAGAGACCAGTGTCCTTCGCAGGGACCAGCCAGGCTGGGAAGCGCCCAGCCACGGGCACCCGGCTCTGCCCGCTGGAGTCCATCGTCCCCAAGGTCAGAGTGATCCCCGTGTCCCCAAGCGTGAGGTTGGACCCCCCTCCTCTCCGCAGTCCGGGAGCTGCTAAGCCTTCAGAGATGCCAAGTGGGGAAATCCAGCCGTCCGGCCCCATAGTCTGGGGACGGCAGAGGCTTGCCCGGGACCCTGTAAGGCAGGGACAGGCCATGCTCTCCCCATAAGCCGATTGGAGGCAGTCTTCGTCCCAGGCCCCAGGGGTTCTGCAGCCTGGCCCCGGGGCTGGGAGTCTGTGCAGCCATGTGGCTTCCCCACACACATCCTTCCATGCTCGCTGAGGACACGGCCTCTCGGAGCCACGGCCACTCCACAGCCCCAGACCAGAGAGGGTGGGTGTCCAGCCTCGGGTCACACACAAAGCTTCGAGATGGCCCAGCAGGGCTGGGGTGCCGTGGAACGCCTCCCAAGTAGGGTGTCAGTGAGGGGTCTTCATGGTCCCAGAGGCACCTAGAAAGAGGGGCCAGGTCACAGGGAGCTATGGAAGCGGCCAGTCCAGACTGTCCCTTTTGTCTTCCTGCTCTTTGAAGAAGTGGGCTTGTCCGTGGGCTCTGGGGGCATCACGGGGACGAAGGGGAGGGCTGCTGGGAAGAGCAGCCCCCAGAGGCTGGGCTCAGAGGAAGGTCAGCTTAGGACCTGGCACGCTTCTTGGGGGCAGGGGAGCACAGTCCCGGATGGAGTAGGGGTTCCCGCCAGTCCCAGCCCCAACCTCTGCCCTCAATCCCTTCTGAGGAAGGAAGCGGGAGCCTGCCTGCCCCCATGACCTAGCAAGTCGGCGCGGGCCACATTTCAAGAGGAAGATGGCCCTGGTCCGAGAGCTGGTAGGAGGTGCCTTGGGAGAAGCTGCTCCTGCTTCTGGAACATTCCCCAGGACCCTCACCCCTCCCCTCCTGCCAGGAGCTGCTCAGCCCGCCTGCACTCACGGCCTCAGACTTTGACAGATGCAGGCGGCATCACCAGCTGGTTCACCCTGGGGGAGAGACGGGCGGGGGTCAAGGTGGTGGGTCAGCGGCGGCCGGGCCCGGGCACTGCTCTGGCACATCGCATCTCGGGGGCCGGCTGGCCGGACGTGCCGGGCAGGGACCTCGTCAGCCCCAGGGGAAGGTGGGAGAGCCCAAGGGTGGGGAGAGGAGATAGAGGAGCAAAAAGGAGAGAAGAAAGAAGTCAGAAAACCAGAGGAGAAGGCGGTCCAACCACTCAGCCCCTCTCCCTGAAAGCCTGTCCCCAGCCTGGGCGTGCGAGCCGTCCACAGAACCTCCTGCGGGCTGGGCATATGGGTCCCTCCGGCAATCCTGGGCGGCCAGGGGACCTGCTAGCTGTCTCCCTCCCACAAGCCTGGGCAGCCAGGGGACCCACGTGCCAGCTGTCCCCAGCCCTGCAAGCCTGGGCAGCCAGGGGACCCTCCTGAAAGCCTGGGTGGCCAGGCGACATGCATGGGCCAGCTGTCAGCTGCCCCCCTCCCGCAAGCCTGGGCCACAAAGGGACCCCATGTGCCCCCCGCCAGCAGGTGCCCGACCCTGCCCACTCACTGCTGCTCAGCCTTGGCGCGGTCGCCGAGGAAGAAGAGGGCGGTGGCGAGGAAGAACATGCCGCCCAGGACCACCACGAAGGGGCAGAGCATGAGCGCGTAGCCCAAGCTCAGGAACTCCCAGAGCGGGGAGTCCTTGGTGCTCTGGCGGATCTGGTCCGAGATCTGCGGGGGCGGGAGCGGGTCAGGGGGTGCCTCCCACCCCACAAGGCCGCCCCCAGCCGCCGGTACTCACAAAGCCGATGAGGTAGGGGCTCCCAGCGTCCCCCAGCAGGTGGGAGGTGAAGCTCTGCAGGGCGACAGCCGTGGCTCGTCTCGTGGGGATGACCACATACTGCAAAGAGGTCGCAGGTCAGACGCCAGAGGGCACAGCCACAGGCCTCGTCCCTCGGGTCCCCATACTCCTAGGCTCCCTGGGGGCAGGCTGCCTGAGGTTCTGCCCTGGGCGTGTGGCCGGGAGCCTGTGTGGGGGTCGCAGGAAACGGAAGCCCGGCACATGGACGACACGGAGGCTGCGGCAGCGCTGCAACTGGAACCTATAAGCCGAAGACCGTGCTGGTTCCCCTCCATGAGGACGTGGCAGGGTCCAGGCTGGTCTGCCTGGGACAACCCTCACCCCGATTTACCGCTGCCCCCAGAGCCAGGAGCCCACCAGGCTAGGCAGGTCCTCCGAAGCCTCGTAGCAGCTGTGGGGGTCAGCCCACAGGGCCCCTCCTTATAGGGCTGGGGGAGGGGCAGCTGGATACAATGGGATTGTGTGGCCCCATTTCCAGCAGTGATCAGTCATGTGGCTGTGACAATAAAATGGGACAGGATTTCCCTGGGACCCAAACCCTGCCAGCAGCTGAGGCTGCCCCCGGGGGCAGAGGCAGAGGCAGGCACGGGAGTCCCGCCCAGCGCCACAGACTGGCTCCTCTCTTCACTCTCACCCCTGCCACTGGCCTGGCTCCACATGAGCCCAGGCCTGAGTCAGACCCCCCCACTCCCACCCACGGATGGCCTCCCAGTGAAGCAGGGTGGGCTTCCTGGAGGAGAAAAGCCAGTAGGAGCCCCCCACGCCAGGCTAACTCTAATCCCCTGGGCTGTCCCATAGTGTGGCCCAGACCCCAAGTGACATCCCTCTCCCGCCTCCCAGGGAGACCTGGCCTGCTGGCTCCCTCTGTCCCTACAGCAGGCCCTGCGTTCCCTTCTCCCAGCCCCTCCTGGCCCTGAGCACGGAGGATGTCTCCCCAAGTCGCCCCTCCCACAGTGCCACCCCCTCCCGGTTCCTCCCAGGGACATGGCCCCTGCCGCTGCTCAGACAGCCCTTTGTCCCTGGCTGGTTGATCCGGCTCCCATTGTTGGCCTGTGAACACCGCCTCTGTCCGCCCAGCCCAGCCGCGGGCTCTCAGGCAGGCGCCCCTGGGACCCAGGCTGGGCTGGGAGAGCTAGGCCCCGGGAGCTTGGACCAGGTGGGGGGTGCACGCTGGCAGGCAGCACCCCCTCAGGCCAGCCTGGCAGTGCCAGCCTCCCGGTCGCGCGGAGCCTGCCAACATCCCTCTCCCCCATCCAGCCCCAGCCTATCCCTCTGCTTGCCCAGGGCTCGGCTCTCAGGCCCCGAAGCCTGGTCCCCTCCCTGCCTCCAGGCCCACCTCCCCAGCTTGCCTGGCCTTCTGTCCACCCCCCACGGGCCTGCCAGCCTCCGACCTCTTCACCACCCCTCCAGCTGCCCCAGGAGTCCAGAAGCCTGGCTTGGCACAAGGGAACCCCGGCCGGCCTCACCATGAGGATGTCCGCGGTGATGGCCCAGTTAGAAAAGAGCAGTGTCTCCCCGACAAAGATGCAGATCTGTCCAGGAGAGACCACAGCAGCTATCAGGGCCCTCCTCCTGGGGGCTGGCAGGGAGCCCCCCAGGCTTCCCACCCCTCCCTGGGGCCTGCATGTCTGGGCACTCAGGCTCACAGGAGTCTGCAGAATACAGAGGGACCTCAAGGCAGGCTGGCAGCTCGAAAAGATGCCCAGGGCCCTGGACCGAGCAGGGGGAAGGGCGGGCAGCCAACGAGGGCCTCCCCGTGGGGAGGAGCCCCGCGAGCCAGACTGCACGTCCCACACCCTCGGGCCCCCCCGCCCCCCCCACGGGCGCCCCCACCCCCGCACTCACGTAGGCGCCCACGATGCTGCTCTTGGCCGCCACAAAGATGAGGCAGATGAAGATGGCGGAGCCCAGCATGCCCACCGCGCACACAAGCGGGTCGGCCCTCTGGGTCCGCAGGCGGCACCACCGTGTCGCTCCCGCCCCCGTGAGCACTCCCAGAAAGCCGGTGAAGCAGGTGATGGCCCCGAAGATGAGGCTGCGGGGACAGAGGGCAGGGGGCCGGGGTCAGTGGGGGTGGGTGCAAGCCAGGACAGGGGGACCACCACCCGCGCCCCTGGCCGGCCCCACCTGTCCCTGGCCCCGCACGGCGGGCTGCCGCACGTCTCTGCCGTCTTCTGCACGACCTGAGCGCGGTGCAGGTACAACGGGATCCACATGCCCAGGGCTCCTGTGGCGAAGGACACAGCCGACGTGGCCAGGGAGGAGAAGACGTAGCTGCGGCTGGAGAGGGGCAGGGGCAGCGGCACTGAGCGAGGCCCCCAAGCCTGTCCCCGCTGTCCCCACGGGCTCGGGCAGCA